GCTATCACAAGGCAGTCTGGGTTTTCCTGGCATCCTCACCCTGTTCCAGTAAATCAGGATGTCTGTCCTACTGTCTCTGGACAAAGAGGTTTGTTTGTACCTCAGCTAACTTCAACCCAGGTGAAGCTGCTTCAATCTCAACAGCAAACACACAACTTTTTCCTTAGCCTGGAGCAGAGGTGATATACAAGGGACTGTCACATAAATGGCAAAGGTCACCAAACAGCTCAAAGGGGAGATACCTAAAGGAAGCAGGACAATGTTGGAAGAAAAAGATGGAGAAAAGATACTGCCTACTCCACCCTACAGGGACTTGAGTTGTGTTAGAACTTTTATAGACTGATACTAGACAGTACAAGCATAAAATCTGTTCAGTATTTAGACCACAAAGCAATAGGTACCTCAAATCCATCACCTCCCTGCAAAACTGCAGTTTAAAATGGAAATGTGGCTGTAAAGTGGATCAAAAAGCTGTTTCCATGGGAATGGGACAGCAAGGGCTTTGCAAATCTTAATGAAGTAGGGAAAATATCCTGCTTTTCAGGAAAAGGACAAACTTTCACCCCTTTGAGAAGTCTGTAGCACACCACAGGCACAGCTCGGGTCCTGTGCCTGGAAATTATTCACTCCACATGGTCATTAACAGGTCCAGCAAACAACTGGACTGCTAAACAAGTCTCACCTCACTAGGGTCAAATATCACCTCTGGGGCTGTAATGCCATTGGTTTTTGCAGCCTTTCGGATGATGTCTTCTGCTTCTTGAAACCTTCCCTGGGAGATCAGCCACCGGGGAGACTCTGGAATGATCCTGCAGAAAAGGTTCAGAATAACAAGTCTGCATTTCCCCAGAAGAGCACTGCTGCAGGCACCAGCACACCTTGGTCCAGGCAGGAAGGGCTCAAAGCTTGCCACGTCTTGCAGACGTGAGAGCAGTGACAAATCAGATTTACAAGAGCAGATCTGCATATTGAGCAAGAATTGACTAAAACACCTTTGTGGATTTTTTGGAGTACTGAAGAAAAAAGCCATGACTCAGGCAAAAAGAGCAACCAAAACCTTCAGAGGATGGGAGAGCAGTTTAAATAAAGAAATTCAGCTATGTGACTACACAAGCAGCATGCTGTATGTTAAGAGGCACATCCTTTGAGAATAACACAGTTAAAATTAGTAACTGTAAAGGCTGTCACAGAAAGGCAAGTCAGAAAGTAGAATTTGCCTGAGTCATCCAACTTCCTAAGGGACTGGATGGAATTACAAACATAAATGCTGGTCTAAGTGAGGAAACACCACCACCATGTGGACTGGTTAAACTTTACATGCCTCCTAAAAGTATTTCATTAGCTGTGGAAGAAAACACTGAAGTCTCACAGACATGCAAATTCCACCACATCTATGTCACCCTACACTGCCCAGCCTCCCACAACAACTGCTCTCTCTTTGTGCCCTTAGTCCAGCCCTACTTTTATAAGCTCAAGGATTTCAGCTGGTGCAGAAGAATGAGTTTTATTTTGTGTTTTGTTTTCTTTGCATGCACATCACTTAATTTTATAGAAGCCTGTAGGCTTTTCAGGCACGATCAGATCACCCCCAAAGCTCTGGACTTGCAGCTGAACGACAGGGAAGAGGAAAGGACACAAAGTCCACTCTTCACCTGCCTGTTCCTGATTTCACCAGTACAGGCTTGGAGTCTGGATCCTCTGCAGAAAGGGACTTTCTGGAGAGTGAATTCTTTTACCTCAGTTATACTCACCACCAGAGCGGGATGCAGAGCAGCCCCGGTAAAGTGAGCGCCAGCAGCAGCATCCTCCAGTCTCTGATGAAGTAAGCAAAGAGGGGCAGCAACATGTAGCCAAGTGCATAAAATATGCAAACGCCCAGCGTGCAGAACAGCACACGAATTGATTTGCCAAGAATTTCTGTGCCTGTTCAAAACAGAGTGAGGATTAGTGTTGGAACTCGACAGCAACCAAGCGACTTCCCCGAACAGCCTCTAAGGGCTCGTAGCAGAGGCACCACAAATCTGCTTCACACAGTGATCCTGCATCAACCTGGGGAATTATAGCTATTAAAGGAAGAGAAGTGGGTCATATAGTATTTCTGGAGCTGGAAGTAGCTAATACTTCTGTAATTTTATCTTAGAATCTCCTATTTTACTTGAGGAGCTAAAACCACCTGGCACAGCACAAACCATTCCCAACAGTTACCTTCAGCTTGATCTCTCCAGGCTACTTTCTAGCTTATGGAGAGAGACCAGCTGCTTTAAAGGGTAATTCAAAGATGCCTGAATTAGGTTCCTGACCTGTGTCACCTTCTAAAAGACTATTTCACTATTAGCCAGAAAAATCTGCATCAGAGTACACGAGTGGAGTTCATGTTGTGTCACTAACAGAGGCCAAGCTGCTGGCAGTGGGATTAATGCACAAACAGGGGTCATTGCTTTGAAATGCTTTGGGACCTGCAAACCCAGAGAGATGGAAAGAAATAAAATCTTCCTCCTTGTCACAGAAATCAGAGAAGACTACAGAAGGTGCAGCAGGTGTCTGCAGTGAGGTTAGCTACATGCTGCTCCCCCAGCTTCACTGGCCTGCTTTGGCACAAAGGAATTTCTTGCCAGCATTTGGTACTTTGGACCAGGAAGTCAATGTAAAAAAACATCAATAAACCCCAAAATAATTATTTTCTGAAAGCTCAGATTCATAGGGTAATTCACATAATGAAATATGGTCTTAGTTAAACAGAAAGCATACAAAGCAAGAGTTATTATACCAGTTAAATTCTTGCTATAACCTGTTTAAAGGAGCCTTCATAATGATTAGCCCAATTATTTTTTTTTACTTTTGCAACTTTTTTAATCAAACAGGCATTTAGGCTCCCAAATGAACAGCAGAAATCCCTGAAAAATCATCCCTTACACGTCTCATCTCTCCAACTAGAAGATGGACATTGTTTGGATTATTTCATTCCTGTTTTTGTGCCTTTTTAGGATGAATTCATTCGGATTGCACCTCTACCAAGTGGAGACCTCCAAGAAGGGGAGGTGTTCTCCATGCGTGGTGAGGACACACTCTCAACAACGTTGCTTGGCAAAACAAATCAACCCTAAGGCAGTACTGAAAAGGAGCAGGAAAAGCACAAGAGAAAAGAAGACATACTGTGCCCCAGAGGACTTTCATACCAAGAACAAACGCAGCCACGTAGTTCGAGATCTGTCCCATGCCAACCAGCACAAAGAACACTGAGAACATCTCCCAGCTGGTGGAGAAGACTTGCACGAAGCTGAAGCCTGTCTGCATGGCCAGGGTTGCAAACAGCACATTCTTCCTGCCAAACCTTCCATGGACAGATTAAAAAAACAACCAAAAAAGAAAAAAAAAGAAGAGATTATTATACAACAGCACGAATTAAATCTTCAGAAACAGAAAAGTAAGATGGCTCATGTGCATTGTTAGGGAAATAGAAAACATCTGCAAAAAGCAGAGGGTGAGGAAAGTTGACACAGGCACAACTATTCTAAATGTATTTAAAAAAATCCACTGGCCCAGAGAAAACAGCAGTGTAAGGTCTGCTAGTTGAGTTGGATGAGCAGGGAGACAAATCATTGGGAGCAAATGATTTAAATGCAAGATCTCAGATGCTCCTTTTCCTCTAAGGAGCACACAGTTCAGGACAGAGGGACACATGAAAAACAAAGAAAAAGGAGCAAAGCTTCTGAGAGGTGACCCCCAGCTTTGCTGTGATCACAAGTGATCCCATGCTGCAATTTTCATTCTGCTTGGGAAACAATGAACCAATTTAAGGGACTCCAGCAGCTCTATCAATGAAGAATTACAACAAGAAAAAGAAATTAAACTAACCCCAACCCACCAAGCTGCTGGAAGAGTCAGTGCTGATGTCCCAGCCTGTGACAGGACACACCAGCAGTGTCCCCCAGTGGCCACGAAGGCCACCAGCATCCTGGCTTATATTTGCACTAGTGTGGCCAGCAAGAGCAGGGCAGGGATCATCTCCCTGGACTCAGCACTGGGGAGACTGCCCCTCAAATCCTGGAGTCAGTTTTGGGCTTCCTACTGCAAGAAGGACCTTGAGGGGCTGGAGCGTGGCCAGAGAAGGGCAACGGAGCTGCTGGGGAAGGGTCCAGAGCCCAAGTGTGGGGAGGAGCAGCTGAGGGAGCTGGGGGTGCTGAGCCTGGAGCAAAGGAGGCTCAGGGGAGACCTTCTGGCTCTGCACAGCTCCTGACAGGAGCCTGGAGCCAGGGGGGGGTCGGGCTCTGCTCCCAAGGAACAAGTGATGGGACAAAAGCAAATGGCCTCCAGTTGCTCTAGGGGAGGTTTAGGTTGGACATAACAAAAAAATCCTTCCCTGGAGGGGTTGCCCAGGGCTGTGCCAGGCTGCCCAGGGCAGTGGTGGAGTCCCCACCCCTGGAGGGGTTTCCAAGCCCTGGAGATGTGGGGTGAGGGACACGGGGCAGTGGGGACCTGGCAGTGCTGGGGGGATGGTTGGACTTGCTGATGTTTAATGTCTTTTCCAGCCAAAACATTTCTATGATTCTATGATCTGCTAAGTGCAGGTTCACACAATCCCATGGCAAAGTCAGACTTGGCCAGGTCTACAGTTGGTGCCACAAGCCTCAGGCAGGTCACAATGTATTAAGAACAGACCATTACCTGGAGCCACAAGATATCCTGTCAGCCTCAATGTCCAGGCGTGGGGCTGGGGCTGGCTGCAGGACTTTCTGCACCACACAGGCAGAGGCCAGACACAAAACATTGTACAGAGCCTTGCTGGAGCAGTCCTCTCATGGAGCTGCTGGACACATTTGGTCTCTTGAGCATGAGACATTCAGTGGTTACAAGAATACCTGGCTGAGCCTCCCTGCCTGCACCTGGTGAGGTTCAGTGCCACCAAGCCCTGCAGCAGCACCAGTATGAGGGGGTGGGAGACTGCCCATGGTGAAGAGAGCAGCTGGAAGCCATGGAGCTCTGCCTGGGGCTGGATGATGTGCTAGCTGAGAGTTTATGGCTTGGAATTAGCAGGCAGAGCAATTCTGGCACTGCTGTGGGCATCTGCTGTAGGCCACCAGACCAGAAAGAAGTACATGAGGCCTTCTTTAGACAGCCACAGGAAGCTTCAAGTTCCAAGGCACTGGCCATCATGGGGGACTTCAACCACTTCAATACCTGCTGGAAGGACAAGACCCAGGAATTTTCTGGAGTGCATTGATGGCAATTTCCTAACACAGATGACCAAGGCAGACACTGCTCCACGCTTGCAAGCAAGGGAGAACTGTTCAGGGATGCTGCTGGGTGTGTGATGGTGAAGCACAGGGTTGTGACAGAAGGAACAAGACAGAAGGAAGGACCACAAGGAGATTAAGCACTGACCCAGTCAGGGATCTGACTGAAAAATCCCATGGTGTATGGCTCTGGAGAGAAGTCCAGGAGAGCTGGCTGATTTTCAAGGATCACAGCCTCCAAGCTCAAGATTGGTCCAGCCTGATGGACAGGTAACCATGCAGAAGCCCTGAACAGTGCTACAAGACTTGTGGCATAGGGATTATGTTTCAAAGAAACAGAAACCCTGCAGTTAAAGCAGATCAGAGGACCCACACTCTTCTCTGGGAATCAGAGGAACAGCTCACAATGACTTGCAGAACAAATCCCAGGGAGAGAAGCAGAAAAACTGAGCTTTGAAAAACAAAACAAAAAAAAACACCCCACCCTGAAGCAACTTGTCAACACCACAGAAATTATATGGTGTTTCTTTTTATCCTTCTTTGAAAAGTTTGTTCTGATAAACAAGAATGCTTCTCTGGAGTGCAGCTGAACAGCACTCGTGCTTTGCAGCTTCCACAAATGCAGATCATCAGATGTGGATGCTGCATTTGATGATGAGGAAGAGAAGCTATGGGTGTTCATAAAATAAGAATTTTAGATTTGACCTAAAAAAAAAAAGGGAAAAGAAGCCTCAGTGATGTCTCTGAACATAGTCCAAAGTAACTAGAAGAGAATGTCATTGACCTGGTTTTTCCAGGTGACTCTTATCTCCTACACCTGTTTTCTGGCATGCCACCAACTTCCTCCAGAAAGTGATTTTGCTGAAAAAACAAACAGATAAGGATAACACCCACTAACAATCTTTGCATCACTCTGCTCCAGTTCAGGACGTTTACTCCATACACTCAGGTCAGGCACAGACAGAACACAGACACGTGAGCAGCTGCAGAAGGACACTCAGAGCACACTTGACATACAAGAGTTGCTTATGAAGGAGCAGCAGAGAGCCAGCAGCTCTGGTGTAGATACTTTACTTGTCTGAGAGCTGTCCTGATATGAAAGATCCCAGCAGGACACCCACAAAGAACAGGGAGGTGCTCAGGGGTCCCTTCCAGTCGTCCTCACAGACGAGATTCCACTGCGGGGAGAGAAAAGATGAAAGTTCTGATAAACAGGATTTCCCCTCCCTCCTAAAGGTCGTGACTGAGCCTGGATGAAAACATACCCTTTGGACAGAAAACCTCCACAAGGGACGTTGATAACTGACCTACAGCCCAGATGCAGCTCCAAAAATCCCAGGAAGGGATGCTGGGAGCAGAGGCAAAGGCCACCCACCCTCAGCCACCTCAGGAGCCACCCAGCCAAGGCTCAGCACCTTCAAGGGTGACCTGTGTGGCTCTCTTGATGCAGTTGATGGCTGTGGTACATCCCCCACACATATATGGGTGATGGTAACTAATGATTTCATCCTGCTCTTGGAGCAGCTCCCTCTCAAAGGCTCTGCAGCCCCTTAAACTGCTCCAGTTCTGCTGCTTTTGGAAGGAGGGACAACAGATTCCAAACTTGATTTCTTTGCCTGTGGCAAAGTTGGCCATCAAAAGTTCACATTCCTAATTTAAAAGCAATTGAATGATAGAAAGAAGAATATAGAAAGAAATGCCCTCTCCTTAACTACATTTTAATATGGTTTTGAGAGAGACTGGAGACTGGAACCTAACTAATGTCAGCTATAACCTCTGGAACACAAATGTGCACCAAGCAAACTAAGATTTCCAAAAGGAAAACAACAATGAGGGAGAAAACAAGACAATTATTATGAAGACTGCAGTTGTTTCCCATCTCCTACCCACTTCACTCTCATGGTTTTGAAGTATCAGTCGTGTTATTTTTGTATCTGTACCAACAGCTATTATTGAAACAGTCTTAATTTCAGTTTGGTTATGGGGGTGGGGGGAGTTGGTCAATGTTAGGAGAAAAGGACAAAACCCAGCAGGGAGGCTTCGTCCCCCACCTCACTGCTCTGCTGGGACTGGAGCAGTTCCCAGAGCTCTCCCCTGGCAGAGGGGCTGCAAAATTAGGAGGCAGCCACTGCTTCTGAAGTGAGGCCAAACCCTCCTGAGCTCTGTTATTCCAGCAGCTCCCTCAGGGCCTCTCCTGATGTTTTAGGCATGGAAAGTTTTAGTTTTTAATCCGTATTAAAAAGGTTGAAAGGAAATTTAAAATATTCATCCTGATCCAAATAATTAATTATTTGGAACTGGGGAGCAAGGGGGATTAAGTATAGTGTGTTTTCCTCTCAATGTTTTAAAACTTGCACTGGAACATGCCAGAAGATGTGTCCCTGCAGCTGCTGTGGGTCCAGCTCCAGCAGCCACCCCATCCATGGTCCTGCACGTGCCAACAGCAGCATTCTGCTCTGCTGCCAGCCCTGCCCACTCCACATCAAGCCCCCAACTCCTGGAACCCCACAGCCCTCAGGCTGCTAACAGTTCATGCTACAGCTACAGCCTGGTGCACACGTAAGGTTGGAGGCCCACTAAAGCACTGCATGAACACCACCAGCAGTGGCCTTCCAGTCCCAGATCCCTGTGGCAAACCTCAGCTGAGCTGCCCCTTATTTCACAGAAAGGATCATTTGGGTTGGAAGAGAGCTTCAAGATCATCCAGTCCAAATGTTCCCCCAGCACTGCCAGGTCCCCACTGCCCCGTGTCCCTCACCCCACATCTCCAGGGCTTGGAAACCCCTCCAGGGGTGGGGACTCCACCACTGCCCTGGGCAGCCTGGAACAGCCCTGTGCAACCCTTGCAGGGAAGGATTTTTTCCTCATGTCCAACCTAAACCTCCCCTGGAGCAACCTGAGGCCCTTTCCTCTTGTTGTCTCACTCATTCCTTAGGAGAGGAGCCTGACCCCCACCTGGCTCCATCCTCCTTTTGGGGAGTTGCAGAGAGCAAGAAGCTCTTTTGACTTAGATCTGGAAGTTCTAGAGATGAATGATGCCCATTCATACTGGCTGTGTGCTCACTGGCCCTTGTGTAACTTTAGCTGCTAACCCTTGCACTAACTCTCATTGTAATTATTTTTTTTAAGGTTATAGAATCACAGAATGTTTGGGCTGGAAGGGACCTCCAAAAGTCATCTAGTCCAACCCCTCTGCAATAAGCAGGGACATCTCCAGCTAGATCAAGCTACTCAAAGCTTCATCCAGCCTGATCTTGAATGTCCCCAGGGATGGGGCCTCCACCACCTCTCTGGGCAACCTATTCCAGGGATCTGTCACCCTCAGACTGAAGAACTTTTCCCTAACATCTAACCTAAATCTCCCTTTGTCTAGTCATGGTAGCAAACAAAACATACCATTTCCCAATTTGTATCACTATTCAAGTAATTTCATAAACCTGATTGTGAGCTTATGCCTGAAAAATCTCTACTTACATCAAACTTCATAACCCCTGATGTTATTCCCACATTTAGTGCCCAGACACTCCCAGCCTCACATCACCTCAAGCCCAGGCTCCAGCACCCAACACACTGCTCCAGCCCATCCCACCAACACCATCAATCAGGCACCACTGCAGAAGGTCCTTGCAGAATTGTGGCCTTCTAACGTGCTAAGAAATTTATAAACACTTATGTAAGGGCTTTAACTTACTGTAGGTACTCATAGCATCTGGATGAAAAACTGTAATTAATATTTATAATTAAATCTGCACTTACTCAACAAAAGCTGTACTTCAGTAGAGATTAAAGGAAGTTTGAGCAACTCTGTGATGCCCACAGGGGCTAATCCAGCTGGAAAGCTTCAGCACTGTGTACCTGGCAGCTTGGAAATATGGAGCAAATGATCGTTATCAAATTGATATAGGCCAAAGGTTTGTGGTTATCACTGGCCTTCATCTGAGGACACTTATCAGGGAAAAAACCACTAAACCAAACAACAGACCCCAGACACAAATTCTGCATTGATAAAGACCTGTCTACTCACAAAAAAATCACAGGATGGGTTGGGTTGGAAGGGACCTTAAAGATCATCTCATTCCAACCCCCCTGCCATGGGCAGGGACACCTCCCACCAGAGCAGGGTGCTCAGAGCTCCATCCAACCTTGAACACTTCCAGGGATGGAGCATCCACAACTTCTCTGGGCAACCTGTTCCAAGGTCTCACCACCCTCATAGTGAAGAACTTCTTCTAATTTCTAATTTAAATTAGCTCCTGGAGCCAGACATCTCCAATAACAGAACTAGACAAACCTCTAGCTGGGTGACTGACAGTCAACCTTTACTCCACAAGTCATTCTTTTCCAGCTGACCCACTGATCCATGAGTTAGTTGTCTCCCTTCACCCACCTCACACCCATGCTTTGGCACAAGGCTCCACAGAATTGGGCTTTCCAGGCACTGCCTCTTTGTGCCCACTAACAAACACATTCCTTGGATCACTAGAGGTGGAGGTGTTGCTTGGAAAAGCTCGTGGTATTAAGATGTTCTGCACTGTTTTGCCAAAAGCTTCTTGCATTGGCAAGTAGAAACATGCTGGCTCTTAAAAATGCAGCCATGGTTACCAGCCTGTTTCACTGTCTGCTCCAGCAAAGCAATGGAAGGAGCTGTTAGGCTGAACATCACTCGAGCCAGGCACCAAACTGAACTTCAAGATCAGTTTTCCAAAGGAAAACTACCCTGGTTGTACAATACCAGTTATTTCCAGCCTCCACAACGACCAGAACAAAGGGGTTTGAAGGTCTGTTACCCCTTGCCCCAGTAAATGAATGCTAAAGTCTTCAACTTTTTAATGACTCATCAGCAAAGTCTATTATATTGCCTGCTAATCACCATGGCATCAGTCTTCCAGAACCATCCTGCAACCAAACTCTTCCCTCAGCTGTACATTGCCCGAGAAGAAGTCACCAGAGCATCACCATTAGAGCAGGACTGCAAAGGAGGAGTGTTGAGGAGCAGTTACTCATTAACCTCTGCTGCTGGCAGTGCTGTTTGGACACAGTATATGGTGACCCAGTGCTCCAAAATCATGTGTTATTTTCACTTCTTGGTATCCTCAGAGCTGACCTGCTAGTTGTACTGGCCTTTGCCCCACTGAAGGAGATAAGGTTAACCTCAGCAAGGCTTGGGACTCCAAACAGGAGAAAAACACTTCAGCTTGGCTTCCAACACCAGCTCCTGATGTTGAGGAGCACTGAGCTCCTAAACACTGATAGCCAAAGCTCGGGGCATGACACAAAGCATTCTCACCCCATTTTATCACAGCTTTAGAAGAACACATCCTTCTCTTGGAATTTAAACTTAACCTTCTTATTCAGACAGCTTGGAGATACTTTGGGCTGTAGCTCCTTCCCAAACAATTCACCAGGTTGGGTTGATGGCTTCAGGAGCAGCTTCACACCTAACAGCAATGATTACCTAGGCATCAGAGGCAAGCTGCAGGGTGAGATAGGCACCTCCCAGCTGATACCAGCCACTGGGAGCACTGGGGGGAAGAGGAGAAGCTAACAGGCTATGGAAATGGCCAGAAAATATGAACAGCTCGGGGGGAAGATAAGGGGAAACCACAAGGGAGAGAGGCTGAAGCTGTTGCTGCTTGAGCAAAGAGCATGAAATGGTGCTAGGTGTGGACAGGCATCACACAGAGCTCTCTAGGAGAGCACTTGTCAAGCTCTGCTTCATCTCCCACGTGACAAGTCACCTACCTGGAACCACATCTCCAAATCCCTCACTACAAGGCAAGCCCAGTGACAAAACTGAGAAGATTAAACCCCCCTAAACAACTCCCTCAGATCTCCTCCCTCCCCAGCCATATTTTATTAGCTTCTAGGCTTCTTCCACAACACACCCCCAAACAAGAAGTATTATTGCAGGTTTAGGCAGAAGGACACTAAGCAGCACACACAGAAATGTGTCACTTGCTGGACTGGTATTTCCTGTATTCAACCTTATACCTTTCCAGCATGAAACCAAACCTTACTCTAACTGCTGTATCAAAAAAGAAAACCACCCTACAATTTTCACCCAAACCACCATCACAATGAAATTCAGACTCCAAGAGGAAATCTTGGAATCCTTTAAGCCACAAACTGTGGTAAAAGCTTCCAAGCATAAAAAGCTACAATTACAAGGCAAGCCAGGAC